TTCATGTCGCGCTCTCCAGCCAAGCTCAACTCATCCACTAGCTTAGCGGCTAGGTGTTGGAAAGCACGGTTGTAGGCTTCGACTTCGCCAACTTGCCAGTGAGCAGCTGCAGGAGGGTGGTCCAAAATGACACCGTTGCTGCGCATCTTCTCGGCAAACTCGCCTTGAAAAGCACCATCTTGGTCAACCCACAGCTCTTTTGGGTAGCCGGCCCATGAACACCACAACATGGTCACCAGGTCATAGACATGGCCAGCTTCGCGGGTGTCACACGGCCAAAAGACATTGAAAGACCCATTTGGCTCCAAAAGGTGCAAGAAGGCGTGGTTGTCCTGGTTGGCGTCGGTGACATACACGAAGTCGATGCAGAGCTTGCTGTTGAAAGCGCCAATGACCTTGAAAGAGCTTGGCCTAGGAATCCCAGGCCTCTTGGAACGTTCACATGTTCCACAGCGCAGTCTTCTACTCAACTCAATGGCATCGGGCTCAACTTTTCCATCTTGTATCAAAGCTCTTGTCAGGTCAGGTTGTGCAGGATGGCCCAAATTCTTGTGAACCTTGACTAACATAGGCGCCAACTTCTTCTGCTTGTTGGTCAAAGGCGGTCCAATGAACCATTGCTCATCTGCGTAGGTCTGCTTGGTGAGGACCGGAGACTCCTTTGGTTCTAGTAGGGCACCATCGTCATGGGGCTCAACCGGCACTGGTTGTCGAGGAGGTTCTTGTTGTGGAGCAGGGTCTGCTGGGTCACCAGGAGCGTACCCAAGCACAAAGATAGCCAGGCGCACCGGCTGCACAAAACGTTCCCTTGGTGCCTGAGCAGTCTTCAAGAACTCCGTCTCAAGCACAATGGAGTCGTCGTTCAACAGGAGTGCTGAACAGCGGTGACAATCTTCCAAGCCAGGTCGGACTCTCTTAGCCTTAGGCAGGTGAGCTATCTGGATGTTCATGATCTGCCAAGGGACCAAACGGGCAATCTTGGCGTAGAGCTCGGAGTCCGGAGCAAGAAAGATGCTGGCCTGTGTTTTCCTACCCAACACCTCCATGGCGTCATCGAAGAGGGGGCGCCACTTGTCCTCGGATTTGTCGGCGTCCACGAACCAGGCAGTGTTGGTATCGTCCTTCTCGTTGAGGGTCATGGTTCCAAAATCTTCTTCAACAACAATTCTCCAGTAGGCACGGCAAATTGCATCAGCCAACAAAGGAGGGTAGCAGGCTGAAGCGGCTGCGTTGGAACCTTCAACCAATTCATGGACACGCGAGCCATCACACTGCTTGTCCAGCTCCTCGATGAAGTAGGGGTGAGTGGCAATGAACCTCACTCGCTTCTTCATAGGTAGCCCTGCCTTGCCAGTCAAACCAAACATGCACAAGCAAGAGGTGGTCTCGAAGTACTTGTTGCGAAGTCGTACAATCTCATCTTGCTTTTGCGAGTCTGCTGTGGCAGGGTTCTCAGCGATGGCGTGACCACCATGGTCGACCTGAGTCTTGAACACATCCTCCGTGAGCTTGAGGAAGGGACGGTCTTGTTCTTGTAGTTCTCGAAGCTCATCTTCTCTTCCCTTATAGTTCACATTCCTCTGGAGGATGCTCCATGGTGTGCAAGGAAACTCGACCATAGCCAGCCGAGGTTTAAACCTTCTCAAAGTGGTCATCAACCATCTCCGCATCGATCTTTTCCGAAGATCTATTCCGTAGCGGATGTCGATGGGTTGCAGCACCTTCATCTTCCAAAGTGTCGCTCCACGAATTGTGACCATTGAAGTTCCTCCAAAGATCTCCACGAGGTCAAACTGGAAGTGCTTTCGTGGCCAGCGTCCACCTTGAAGTCGCTGCATGACCATCTTCTGCTGCCATTTGGATGCAGCAAGTGCCTCTCGGGCCATGTGTTTCATCCGCTTCTGCTGACCGGGCTTCAGCTTGGAAGGTCCAGGGGAGCTCAAAGTTCGCTGTAGATCGACATGATGTCGTCCGCTTCCTCGTCGCTGTGGATCAGAATTGAGTCCGCTGCTGGGGCGCGACCTTGAGTGCGCTTCGCTCCACTGACCTTCTCCTCCTTGATGTCCTTTGTCGTGGCCTTCCTCGCCGGCGGCTTGAAGTCCGCTGCTCCATAAACTGCTTCCGTAGAGGTAGGTCGTGAGGAAGACGATGACCCATAGGACTTGCTGGAGGAGACTCCTTTGCGAGCCTCTGGGCGTGCAGTCTCGCCCTTCAACACCTTGCCTCCGGGCTTGTCCCTTGTTCCCACGAGGACCGGGTAGACGGTGACCAGGGTCTGGGCAATCGGCACCTTGTAGTCCAGTCCACGCCAAACCATTCCACAGCTTATGCACTCCAAGAACTTCCCATGGGCGTTGCCAAAGCGTCTTCCATGCTCCACCAGGTGAGGGCAATCCCTCGGCTGGTAGGGGTAGTTCAGGTTCCATGGCAGTCCGAAGTTCTTGCTCTGAGTGGTCACTGGGGGCATGGTCGGTGGCAAGGCCTCCGGATTCCACTCCTCGATCATCTGGTCGTGGGAGATCAGGGCTTCCCCATAGGCCACCAAAGCTGGTGAGCGGTGTTTCAACTGGTTCATCATGCGAGTTGAAGCCAGGCTGCAGACGATCGCCTTGAGGTAGATCATCACCTTGCGCAGCAGGCGGCTCCATCGCAGCCACACAAAGTCGCCTTTGGCTTTCGAATGCCTTTGCATCTGGGGCTGCGGTGCGAGCACGGGATCGTAAGCTTGATCCGAACTCTTCCGCCGGAACATTGAATCTCACAGCTTGGCGATCGATGGGAAGGTCAGGTGACTTGACTGACTTGTCAAAAGATTTCAAAATTCTCTTCTGAACTGAAGTTTTCACTGAAGCTGGGTGCACACGTCTCGTTTCAGCGTTCTCGAAAACGACGTCGACACCCTGTGGTTGCCATGCAGGAAGAAGGGGCCCAACATCCAAACCAGGGTCGCAATCTTTACCAAAAAGAACCGTATATCCAGTCCAGGGCTCCTCATGTAGAAGACGTTGAGGGGCATCCCAAACATCGATCAACTCGTTCTGGTAACCGTGCTTGATGGTGACCCGTACGGACTGGAGTTCATCAGGTTGGGGACCATCAACAACTTCTTCAGGATGAAAACGAGATGTCCTTGGACGGTGGTGGTGCCTAATATAGACCTGAGGGTGATCCAGAAGGTATTCCCACTTGTCGGAGGCAACGATGCAAGGGGTTCTCTCCTGCAAACTTCCATCACAAAAAGGATCATCCTCGGGGCTATAAACATGAGTGGCTGCAAAATTCGGCTGCATGTAGGCTTTTCCTGTGGCCCAAAGGACTCCAGCATAGGCGTCTTGTGAGGCCTGACGGTCCTGCGGCCATCCAGTGACTGGAAAATCATCTACCGCGACCACAAGGTGTCCAGTGTGGTCTACAAAAAGCTCCGCCTCAGTCTCAAGGGCCTTGAGGTAGATCTTCTGTTCTCCGATGTCTACGACTGCGCGAACCAGTCGCAGCCAGTCTTGCCCAGCAAGCCAAGGAATCTTGCCACTCTCAGGCAAAGTGTCGTCCAGCACGGAGGTCTTGATCACCATTGCACAGCCTCCAATGCCAACTGGCATGTGCCACCTGTGGTTCGAAGTTCTGGGCTCTCCAGGTCCAAAACGGTAGGACTCGTTCTCCTCGGTGATCAGGGGCTTCACGCTGTGCTTCGACTCGATGATGCTGGCGACTTGCCTGACTTGGGTGAGTCCACCCACAGTATTCTCGCACGCCGTGTCGATGGTCAAGTAGGCGGTCTTGTCCTTGACCGTGGGCTTCATGCGAGTGTTGCTCAAGACGTCTCTTGGTACTCGATCTCCGCCAACGAGGAACTCCTGCATGCTCAAGTCGTCCTCTGGGAAGATAATCTTCATGGCGAAGTCGTAGTCCAAGAAGCGGACCGGGCCACGAGGACTGGCAGCACTGGTTGTCTGCCGGCTCAAAGTCTTGCGGCTGGTCCTGCGGGTTCCGCCATGCACCAAACCACCACAACGTCTCCTCTCCTCGTACTGCTCATCTGAGAGAGTGGAGGTGTCGCGGGAGTAGATGCTCTCGATGCCCTTCTCATACTCAATGCGGCCACGGTGAGTGGGTACGTGATGAGGTCGAGGTTCGTCGGGTCCAGGAAGTCCAGGATGAAGTTCGTTAGAAACCACCAAGGCCACTCTCACCTTGTCCAGGTCAACCTTGGGCGGTGTCTTGGGGACCGGTTTGAGAAGATCCCAAACACAAAAACCAGGTTCCTCCTCAATCACCGGAAGTCCCAAACGTTCTTGTGCTTCACGAATGGCTTCCGGAGCCGATGAAGTATGGCCTCGGGCCTTCAACCTCTTCTCCTCGATCTGCTTCTGCACGTCCGCGGTCGCGGTGAAGACGTCGAACGGCTTGGTCCTGTCCTCCGCGTTGGCGGCCAGCAAAACCGAAGATGAAGACGAGGGTCTCGATGTAGTACCAGTGTCACCAGTCGCCTTGCGCTTCATGCGGTTCAAGTCCTTGATGACCTCATAGGCGTCATGGGACTGAAGTGGGGCATCTGGCTTCTGAACCTTGGTAGTCGTCGAAGTGGGTGTAGCCTTGCGGCCACTGTTGAACTCTGTGGACTTGGGGTAGGCAGCACGGTCAGTCGAGGTGTCAGCAACATTGCGTTCCGCACCTCCGCCAGTCAT